GTATTTAGAATTAGATGTGGTAACAACTTGCGTGGGTTGTTTCATATACAGGTAGGTACCATTTTAGAACGAAATTTTCCTCAAATAACTTTCTGAGTTAGGTTGACACCAGGTGATTTGTGGTACTGGATTTACAACCTCAAAACCATGTTATTTTAGATGTCACCCAAAGCTCCTCTGCATTGAGACTACAGAAGACGACTACACTATGGATTAGTAAATGTGTTCAAAGGAACACTTACTAATTGCCTTTTTACATTTGGCTGCTTTTTTGGGGAGCCTTTTGTGTTTGCTAACACTGTACCTTCTGTTATCCTTGTAATTAATAGATTTTGACCGACCTAGTGATCATGAAGAAGCTTTCACTAGAGACCTTTCAGAATTTCCTTCTTTAGAAAACGGTGCCGGAACAAATGATGACGATGACTCAAGCATTGGTATGCCCATCCAGCAAAAACGAAAAAAAGAACAAACACATATCAAGGTGGATCATGCTTCCAGACAGAGTAAAGGGAGACCATCCACTGCAGGGCTCTCCTTGCCTTTGACCAGTGACCAAACCTTTAATTTAATGAGTGGAATTGCTGGGGATGTCATCGCAGCTGCAGTGTCTGCTGCCATCAAAGACCAGTTGCAGTCTGCACAGCAAGCTCCCTCACATGCAGTGCCCAGTTTGAGTGAGGAGACAGACACAGAGGAGGCTGATGATTTTGAACTGCTTGACCAGTCTGAGCTTGAGCAGATTGAGAAAGAATTGGGACTTTCACAAGGCCAAGAAGCAGAATCCCAGGAAAAGAAAAAATCTTCAGGCTTCCTTTCAAATCTGCTTGGAAGTCATTAACGTGGAAATTGCAGCTGGTAACATAGAAGAAATTAAACATAAAACACACACACAAGAAATGAAATGCAAAAAAAAAAGAGGAAAATTCTGAGCTGTGAGCTTTAACTATCCCTTTAGATGTGTTGTAATAATTTCCCTTATGCAGAGTGAATTAACTGGCTAAATATCAGCTGATACTGATAGTTTAATGTTTCTGGTAGTCACACCTCAATGTAATAGCATGGAAATGAATTATCTATCCACTGGTTGCAGGTGAGTGTTGGAGGTCAGTTGTTTAGAGCGTTGGGGGAGAGGTTTCTTTTATCTTTTTGCCAACCATGTATTTTGGGGTCCTGAGCCAAATTTTCAACATCGGCAGTTTATTTATGCTTGGTTGCCAACCCTGTAACACAACGATTCACACCGCAAGGGTAAAGTTATCAGAGGATTGCAATGAGATTAACTAAATCTCACCTCCTTCAGTCATACCAGAAAGTATGAATCCCTGCCGTTAGCATTATGTGTAGTGCATCTACTATATATGAATCACAATAACCAGCACAACTCTAGTTTAAATACATGTGCAACACTATCAAAGAACTTGATTTCTCACTTAAAACCTTTGAATTATTTTGGATATGGTGATGCATTTCCAGGTTTTTTGCTGTTTTAGGCTTGTAGAGTTGTAAAGTGGCATGCTATTTGACTGACCACCTGCTGTGTTCCTTGACAGAGTCTAGTCCTTGACAGTATTGCCCATGTAAAGCCAGCCAACGTGTTTTTGTATTTAAGAGTTAATATCATGTAAACCAAGCAATCTTTTTGGAAGCAGGTGAGGGTAATTATTGTTTGGAATACAGGTTAGAGGTTAAAAAGAAAAAAAAAAAATTAAAAAAAAAAAAAAAAAGGCTCTTTTATGTGCCACTTCCTTAATACAAGATTCTGTGGGTTTGGGGTTTTTTTGCACGGGACAGCTGCCACCACTTGCAACAAAAGTTGTGTTTCAATCTGAGTATTTTAAGATGCTTAAAAGTATTCTGTGAGGTCATTTGCTATGGAAGACACTCAGAATCTTCTTCTTGGCATGTAATTTAAAGCAAACAAAAAAGAACTTGTTTAAATTATTTGCCAGTTTAAACTCCACACATGCTGAGTGAGCAGCATGGGATCTTAAACAGGTAATTTATTGAACTTTTTCTAGGGCTTTTTTGTTCACCTGCAACAAAACTGAATTGTAATACCAAGCAATAGTAATCAAAGAAATAGGAAGAAGCAAAGCTAGTTCTTTTAATGTGATGTAAACCATTAGCAAAGTTGAGGGACCATGTCAGCTGCTACTACTACTCAAGTGATTTTCCATTTGCTGGCATTTGAAGAGGTGAATACTGTCATCTAGGACCCTCAGACAGTACAGCAACAGATTATAAAAATCTTCCACTAACATATATATGTTGGTAAACCTGTGTTTATAAAGTTAACTCCATTTTTTTTTTCCTTTTGAAGTGAAAAAATAGGCAGATGGCCAAAAAGAGTATAGTGAAAGGAAAGATGGTAAGAATTTTTGACACTAGCTTTATCGTTGCTTGTGCTTTTGTGTCAGTAACGCATATTGACTGTGTATGCTGTCCTTTACCAGTAAAAAAGTGAGCCTGTGCCTTCATTATCAAATCCATTATGAATTAAGTGGATGCTGGATGTAGATCCCACAAGATGCAGCTTTTGAAATTACAACATCTTAACATGAAAAGCGAGTTTCTGGCAATTATTAAAACAACATGGCCACAACAGTTCCACAGCACTGGTTGCTAAGTTTCCTTTTTAGCTTACCCCAGCCTGTCCTTTGCATTTAAAAAAAAAAAAAAAAAAAAAAATCTTTTGCTGGGAAATAAGTAAGTTTAAAGGCCATTTGAATTTCTCAGATGATGAGTTGAAAGCCTCATTTCCTTGCTGCATGTTTAGGACAATCTATACAGTTAGAAGAGTACCACTTCCAAGTTCCTGATGAAACTTTGTAGGACCCCCAAACAAACATGTGCTTCCTTGTACAGGAGCACTGGTGCCAGGAGGGAATCGGGCTATGGGACTGGGAGAAGTGGGCGGGAGAGAGGGAGGGAAGGAGGGAGCAGTCCTGCACAGGCTTTTCTGGAGATCGACGGGACAGACTAGCTGGCTGTCAATGGTGGCATTATAACAGCGTGCACTTTATTGTTGTTTTATGAAGAATATTTGTGGCTATAACAGTATGTAACACAGGGGCGCTCTTCTAGAATAATAAATTAGATCAAGAAGGAAAAGCAGTTGGAGGAGTTTCTGAGACTTTTTGTACATGATCCATTTTCTGGTTTCAAGATAGAAAAACAGAAAAATTTTTCCCCAAGTCTCAATTTTATTTTTTCCAGAAAGCAAAACTTGAACAAGCAAATCGTTAAACTTTTAGGGGTGTAATTGCTTATTTGAGTGTCTAGAATTTTATTTTTCTATTGTTGTGGTAGTTGATTACATTCAAGCCCCTAAATACTGTGTAATGGGAAGGAGGTAATTCTGTAATATTTACTATTCTTCCTCAGGTAGCATCAAGAAGCTTAATTTTCTGCAGGAAATTACCTCATCCCTCCCAACCACCCACATGTAAGAAACACTTTGCTTGGACACGATACATTCCACTGCCAGCAGTTTGACAGCAAAACACAAAGAACACGTTCCTCTCCTTTGTGAGATCCCTTCCACGCTGCCTTTAGTTGGAAATCCCTCAAGAAAACTTCGTTCTGCTGTATTCTAGCAGCAGCCACAAAATAGCAGTTACTTAAAAATTCCTGTCACAATGGTCCACAGCATCTTTCCTACCGAGCACTGTCATCACCTTCCCATCTTCCAAAACTGAATACAGGGGCAGGAAGAAGGGCGAGCGAGTATGAGGTAGCAGGTAGTGTTTGTTCCGTGGGGAGCCTGCCCTGCTTGCCATTTTCAGTCAAAAGGCAGGCCAGGCAGCGTAGATCAAAGTGTGGGCGTGTGAGGGGTAGCACAGGGTACGATCTTGCTGCGGGATCGGTACTGTCTGCGTTACCCAGTGTGTCCTTACTTGGTAGGAAATTGAATATGCCGTGTATTTTTGCAGGAGCGTGGTTAAAGCACTTCACCTTCCCTCGCCTTGCAGTGGCTTCTTCACACATCCCTGATGGAAAAAAAAAAAAAAAAAAAAAAGTTGTGTTAGGATAGGGTCTGTGGGATGCAGTGCAGTCCTTTGTACTCAGAAAATTGGCGTTAGTGTATCTGAGTGACAGACAGTGATCGCCCTTTGATCGGTGGCCTTGGGCGTGTCAAATCCAGCGTAAAAGCACCCGTTTTCAGCACAAAAGGGCTTTTCATGTATAGGTGCTGCACAGCTGCTTACCACGTTCTTCAGTTTGTTCATGAAAAAAAAAAAAATTGCACAGAGGAGGGGAAATAATTTTAACCCAAGGTAATAGGATCTGAAGAAATACTAGTTTTTGTTGTTTGTTTTACATTTTTTCCAGACTGTTTAAGCACTCTGAGCAAATTCCCTCTAGTCTCCATGTCTGTTCTCAGCACACGAGCCGCGTTAACAGCCTGTAACCACCACCTATCCGGGTAACCAGAAACTGGAAAAATTACAAAACGTCTTTATTTAAAATATTTTGCAGCACTTTACCTAGCCTGATTACTATTTTGTAAACATGGAATTATTATATTGATTGTTTGTAAAACCATTTAATAAATATGTGTTAGTTTTTATCTTTCACCATACCTAACTGTGTGTTTGTTCACAAAATGGGGGGGGGGTGGGGTGGGAAGGAATAAGAACTCACAGCAGCAACAAAATCCCCTTTAGCGGCGTTTCTGCCGCTCCCTTGTTTCCTCCCGTTGGTGGCCCGGCGTGGACTCGCACCCACTAAACGCTGACCCGACCCCCTTAAATGATTTTTTTTCGGGGGCAGCCGCGGGGGTGCCCGGCGCGGTGCCGGGAGGGCGGGCGGGCGGCGGGGGCCGCGCCTCCTCCCTCAGGCCTCGGGCCTCCTGACGCGGGCGGGGAGCGCCGCGGAGCCTCCGCGCCGCCAGGGGGCGGCAGCGGCGGCGGGGCGGGCCCTCCTTGCCGGAAGCGAGCGGTCCCCGCCTCTCCGGCGTGGCGTGACGTGGCGTGACGTGACGTGACGTGGCGTGGCGTGGCGTGGCGTGGCGTGGCGTGGCGTGGCGGTTTCCGGCTGGCGGCGGCGGCGCGGAGGGACCCGGACCCGGGCCTGACGGCGGCAGGTGCGTGTCCCGGGGGTGCCGGTCGCTCTCCCTCCCTCCCTCCCTCCCTCAGGCGGAGGCGCTCTGCGCGGCCCGGCTGCGTCACGGCGGCGGCCGCCTGCGCCCCGTCTCGTGCTAAACCTTTTTTTTTTTTTTTTTTTTTCTTTTTTTTCTTTTTTTTTTTTTCCCCTTACCCCCCCGGGTTTAAGTTGTCCCTCCTGTTGTCCCGCCTCTCAGTTCAGGCCTTTCTGTCTTGTGTGTCGCTCTGACGGACACCAGCTCGATTTAAATTAAAGTAAAAAGCTGCCCACATCAGGCGTCATAAAGAGCCCGTGGGGAGAACCCGCTCTGTCCCGAATTACCTGGCCGTGCCGTGGGCTGAAGGCTTGGCAGTGCCTCGGGTTCTGTTTTACTGAGCCTCACGCAGGGGAAGATAATGTGCTTTGGGGTTTTGGGGGTTAAAACGGTCGGTGAAAATGCACCCGGGGAATAGGAAGTGCCGGCCCAGCTATACGGCGTTCTGCAGGTCCTCTTTCAGCTTTATGCAGCTTGGTTTGTAAACATTATTTCTCCTATTAGTGGTAAGATACTAAAGTTTATTATTTTAGATGCTCTCAGTTACATATGTCATTTGATATGTTCTCTGTTTGTTTTGTTTTTTGTTTGGTTTTTTTTTTTTTTTCACCCTCAGGGTAATTTAGTGTGTAGCTGCAGTTTACCTGTAATAGACCGGAACAAACCGTTTAGTCGGTGAGGTTTCTGTAAGGAGTGTGTGATTAACAGCAAACGTGGTTCTGCATCGGTTTATGGCAGTAAAATACCTGCTTGGGCCAGGAAAGGGATGGGGAGCTCTGCAGGTGGGAGGGAGATGCTTCAGGGAGCAATCGGGACCCCTCCGTGGGCAGAGAATGCATTTTCCTCCGAAACAAAAAGCATCTGTTACACTGAGTGGATGCTTATGGTATTTCAGATAAAAAATAGTATGGCCTTTATTTTCTGTTAATGTATTTTCTGTCACTGTAGGATTACAGCTAGTGCAAGCAGAAAATCAGGAACCTGGTCGTGCCAAGGAACGAGTGTTTCATAAAGTACCTTTCAACTCTGCATATTTGTGTCACCGCTGCTTCTCCCTGTTGGTAGCTTCTGGAAGGGATTGCTGTTCCTCTACCTGCTTTCAGACTTCCTGATGGTTGGTTTGTTTGTTTGTTTTTTTTCCACAGTTATTTTAAATGGGTTAAACGATGAGGGTGGCTTTAGTGATGTCTAGTTAGATCACATTTTTTGCTCCTTGCTTTTGGAATGTTCAGGAGATTCCATCAACTTTGTTTAAGAAAAAGTTAAGTTTCACTGAACACTGAAAAGGAAATGTGTGGCTTTGGAAAGGACAGCGTTGGTGACAGGTCACTGCCTTCCACTTGTCCTGTGATAGCCCCAGTGACGCAGCTCAGCTGGATGGCTGGAAGTGGAGGAAGACAGTGGCTTCAAGCTCTAGATCTAGATATGACTGACTGCATCTCCAGATTAACAGTTCTGAAGGGTAAAGTGTTGTTGACAGTACACGCAGTGTTCCAAAATAGATGAGAGTTGTTGTTTTTTAAATGTAGTAATGATTTTTTCTGTTTGGTGAAGCTGTGGAAAATAGGCGTGAAAGCAGGTTTTCCCTTTTTACCCTTATTTTGGAGCAATCGCTAGTGTCCTCAAAAGCCTATGGTTGGCAGAACATGAGCTTGATAAGAACCTTTAGTTTCTGATCTTGAGGAATTGCTGCAGAGCCTTCGAAGCACTGCTGCTAGGGCTGGAAACCCTCCCGTTCTGTGTCCAAGCCCTGACAAGCACAGTAGGTGCTGGGTCCAAAGCTGGGATGCTCAGATGCTGCTGTAGTACAAGTAACCTTGGATAACTACATTACACATTTATTTTGTCATATTTTGCACCTTCAAGTATGTAACATGCTGCTTGCTAGTGCTGGTGTTTAATAAATTTAGTTCTGTACAAGAACTGTATGTCTTATGCTGCCTTACATGGGTGCCATCAGGATATGGTGTTTGGGGTTTTTTTGTGGCTGTTACTTATCTTTGTTAGCATGTTTGTTTTGTTTTGTTTTTTTCCCACTCTCTAGTAATGGCAACCTACACTTGTATCACCTGCCGTGTGGCTTTCAAGGATGCTGACATTCAGCGTGCCCATTACAAAACTGACTGGCACAGATACAACCTGAAACGTAAGGTTGCTGACATGCCTCCTGTCACTGCTGAGAATTTCCAGGAGAGAGTCCTAGCGCAGAGAGCAGTAGCAGAGGAGCAGAACAAAATCACTGCCACTTACTGCACAGTCTGCAGCAAGAGATTCTCCACCTTCAATGCCTATGAGAATCACTTGAAGTCCAAGAAGCACCTGGAGTTGGAGAAGAAAGCTGTTCAAGCTGTCAGCAAGAAGGTGAAAATATTAAATGAAAAGAACCTGGAAAAGGGGCTGGCCCCGGAGAGTGTAAACAAAGATGAAATGAACACAGCTATTCAGCAAGCCATCAGAGCTCAGCCATCTTCATCTCCGAAGAAGACACCTTTACCTCCCAGTAATGCAAGTAGCTCTCCGGTTTCCATGGGAAGCACCAGCTTATCACAGAGTAGAGAACGATCAGAAAAACCTCCACGGCTACAGTGGTTTGAACGGCAAGCAAAGAAGCTGGCCAAACAACAAGCAGAGGAAGAAGAGGATATGGAAGAAGGTAAGGCAGTAAACATACTGACAAGAGATAGCTTGGGGCGAGCTATGTAGTTGTTGGTTTAATGTAAAAGCCTCCTTCTGTTCCTGAAGTAGTACAGCATTTTCTGTCACAAAAGGTCTAACTGTTGATGAAATTTTCAGCTTAACAAAGGAGTTAAGGTTGGCCCGTGCTTGTAGTCAGGGTCTGTGTGTTAGCGTTGGAACTGCCAGCTGCTCAAGATACTAATGCATGTGAAGGTTGAATATAAGCAGTTACTAGTATGAGCACTAACGCAGAATTCCAGGGGAAGTTTCCCTTAAGGAAGGCTAACACGAAAGGTTACCCTACTTCTGAAAAACAGATGAACAAAAATCCAGTCAAAATCATTTGCTGTTGTCCAATCAATCACTGTACTGGTCTGTTGAAGGGAGGTGGGAGCGGGGTTGGTTTTGTTTTTCTCTTCCCATCAAGACCAAGGGAGAAAGTTTGCTCCTTAGCCTGACACTGCGTGGCATAGCTTCTCAGCATATTGGCATCTATAGTAAAATGGGTTTAAGACTTGCCACCCCAACTATCTGTTCCTGCTGCTTCACCTTCAGCACTTATGTGGATACAGCTCTCTGTTGGATGTCAGCCTAGAAAGTGGAGAATTTAAAAGATTAGAGCTTCAGAATTCCCAGAAAAATGTTATTTTTAACCTGGACACTTTCAGTGGTGTAGTTTACAGTGCAGCTCCAAATTGATCTATTTGGAGCAGTTGAATGAGGTGATTAAACTGCAGCGAGGGGACAAGTACAAACGAAGTGGGACCATACTATGCCAGCTTCATTACTGAAACCGTTGTATCATGTTATTGCAACTGTTAAAGCAGTTTCATGCTGGTGAAATTTCAGTTACAATTCGGGGAATCTGTTCTTCAGGAGAAGAAATGTATGCATCTTAACATGTAAAGAAGGAGCCAACTTGCACCTGTTTTGTATTAATGTATTAGTCATAAATTGTAATGCTAAAATCTCAGTAGGTTTCTGAATGCTAATTTTCCTTTAAAGTGTTTGTCCAGGAACATTTCCTACAAGTCCTGTTAATCCAGTGTCAGACTTTTAAAATTATTAAAATATATCCTATAGCAAAGATCTCTAATTAGCAGCCACAACACTGGGAAGCACAGTGTTCCCTGTGCTCAAACACTCTCTGTGCATGGCTGTTGGAAGATGACCAGTAGGAACAGAGTGCTGGGAAACACTCACTGCCCCAGATCTGAACTCCTTAAAAAGATTTCTGGACCCTTCTAACAGTATAATCGGGTTGCTGGTCCATCTATCTATTAATGAGCTCTGAGCTAACCTTGCAAATGTGTAAAATTGCTAGTGTATCTTGGTATATAATAACGTAGAGTATATCTGTGACAGCTGGCTTTTTTCTTCTCTCTTGTTAAAGATGTATGTGTGAACAGGAGTGTGTTTTCCCTCACTGCTGAGTCACTGCTGGAAATGAGCATTTTCATGATTCTGACAGTTGTATTATTTTTAATGAGCCACGCACGTGTCCTTGTGCTGTGGTGAATTAAATTTAAGGCTTTGAAACAGCAATAAAGTGTTAATAGTTGAGAAAATGGAGGGGGGAAAAATACTGGATCTGCCGACTTTTTTATGAGCAGACTTGAGCTTTGCTGCTCATGGAATTATAGCATGGTTTGGGTTGGAAGGGACCTTGAAGACCATCCAGTTCCAGCCCCCCTGCCCCGGGCAGGGCCCCCTTCCCCCAGCCCAGGGTGCTCCCAGCCCCGTCCAACCTGGCCTTGAACCCTTCCAGGGAGGGGGCAGCCACAGCTGCTCTGGGCACCCTGGGCCAGCGCCTCACCTCCTGCACAGGGAACAATTTCTGCCTCATATCTAGTCTAATTCTACTCTCTTTAAGTTTAAAACCATTACCCCTCATCCTATCCCTGCACTCCCTGATGAAGAGTCCCTCCCCACCTTTCCTGTAGCCCCCTTGAAGAACTGGGAGGCTGCTCTAAGGTCTCCCTGGACCCTTCTCTTCGAGCTGAACACCCCCAACTCTCTCAGCCTGCCAAAGGCATCTTACAAAGAAATGTGTTTTACTGGCAACAGTATATTCTTACACCTGGAAGTGTGTGGCACTTAGCTGTAAGAATAGAAAATTCAGTATTTTCTACGTGTCCTGGTTTGAGCTGAGATAGTGCTAATTGGGTTATTTTTTTTCCTTCTTTCTTAGTAGCTAGAAGTGCTCTGGTTTAGATTCAGTATGGGATTTGATATTAGAACAATGTTGATAATGTACTGGTGTTTTTAGTTGTTTCTGAGGAATCATGGACTTTTCAGCTTCTCATGTCCGGCTAGTGTGCTGGTACACAAGAAGATGGGGGGAAGCACAGGCAAAACAATGGACCCAGATTGGCCAGTGGAATATTCCATATCATATAATGTCATGCCCAGTATATAGATAAGATTTGATCGGGAAGCTCAATTCAGGTTTTTGGGGTGGTAGTTTCAGGATTCTCTCTTCTCTGTGATCACGAGCTGGGACTGGGCTGGGCATCGGTCAGCAGGTGGTGAGCAATCACATAGTGCATTACCCATTTGTATTTTTTATTATTACTATTAATATTATAATTATTTTAATTTTGTTTCAATTATTAAATTGTTTTTATCTCAACCTACAGGTCTCCTTACCCTGACCCCTCCAACTCTCTCCCCTATTCCCTGGGGGTGGAGGAGGGTGAGCGAGCGGCTGTGTGCTGTTTGGCTGCCAGCTGGGTTTAAACCACGACACTATGTTCACTTTTTCTAATTTAATTGGGACTTGTTTTGCTTGGGAGAAGTAATCATGTAAATAAATGTGTTTTTTTAAACTTCCTTTAAAAGGCTGGGAAGATATGGATTCCGATGAAGACATCGGCTCTGAAGAAGAGATGGAAAGTGTGGGAGAAGAGGAGGAGCAGGCAGAAGCTGAAAGCACTCTGGCTGTTGGGGCCATACCAGTCACAGACTGCTTGTTCTGTCCCCACCATTCAAGATCTCTCACAAAAAATGTGGCCCATATGACAAAAGCTCACAGTTTCTTCATTCCAGACATAGAGTACCTTGTGGATCTCAGAGGTCTAATCAAGTACCTGGGTATGCTTGTAAATGCTCTATGATTTTTTTGATCAGGATATTTATATACATTTATTGCTTCTTTTCACTTCGATATGATTTAAAATGTTTTTGAGGGTTTTTTTGTGTAAAATCTGAGTGCTGTCTAGTTCAGTATTTTGATCATGAACAGAACCACAGGCTTTCTGGGGAGAGTGAGAGAAAACCCAACTGAGGAAACCTGTGGTCATGTACTTCTCTAGGTCTCCCGTTGTTTTTCTAATGTTGAGAAAGTTGTTCAGCTAACATGAAATTTAGACCAGAACTCTATTGCTAAAGTGTGCGTATGAGCTGTGTTATCCTACTAGTGAGTTGCAAGTATTTACCTCATTGGTTTACAATAACTGTGAGAGCAAAAATCTAGAAAAAAAATGTATCTTCTGTGAAGTCTACAAATAATGGATGAGAATAAAATAATTTTGGAGTGTCATACAGACAACTGTATTGGAAGTATGAAATTTATTATTGAGACTATGTGATGATCCATACCTTGTCATAAGAAATCTTTAAACGTACAGACTTGTCCCTGATGGAACCATATGGTCAAGGCATAGGAACAGCAGGGTTTTTCTGGAAATAAAGAGCTCAGGGCTCTTCCTTGGTTTCACTGTCTGCCAGCTGGGGAGGCTACATCACAGAAATATTAATCGTTGACCAGGGAGACTAGTCAGACCAATAGAAGTGTCAATGTTTTCTGCAGGAGAGAAAGTTGGCGTTGGGAAAATCTGCCTCTGGTGCAATGAAAAAGGGAAATCCTTCTACTCTACAGAAGCAGTACAGGCTCACATGAATGATAAAAGCCACTGCAAACTCTTCACAGATGGAGATGCTGCCCTGGAATTTGCAGACTTCTATGATTTTAGGTGAGGACACCTTTGTTTGAGTGGAGCAAGACAGGGACAGACAAAAAGACAGTTGTATATTAATTCAGAAACTACTATTCATTCTTAAAATTTAGCCTGTTTCTAGTTCTGATGCTTTGTCTGGCAGGTTCAGCAGTTTTCTAGGTGAACGTAACAACAGGATTGGTTCTCACCTGTGACCACTAATACCAGTCCTACATGAAAATATATTTTGAATTCTGTTTTGTATGTTTGCTGTTACTGAGTTTAGATTTCAGTTCACCAGCAAAGACACTAAAAGGGCGTAACTGTCTCTTCCATTACCTTTCAGGCAAATTGTGGGCTTAACAGCTCTGGGTTTATGGGTTTTTTAAGTAGCTGGAGTTAAAGAGGACTGCTGTGGTTCAAAGGCCTCTTGTTGAACTTCCTGTGCCTTATCCTAAGCTGTGTTCATTTTGGTCAGAAAAACCTCTTATTATGGTGACAGGTGGATTTAGTGGAGCTTCTTGGAGCGGTCGCTCAGTAGCTGTGCAGAGCTGGTGGGCTGCCCAGTGGTGGCTTTTCACCGTCAGTCACTGTTGAGTGTGCAGCAGCAGAACTGTGCTGAGGTGTAGAACTGAGTGGAGGAAGGGTGGTCCTTGTCATCAGGCTCTGTTCGGGGCAGGGTGCTACTGGGAAGAGCTCACAAACCAAGGTGGGTGGAACGTGACAGTGTTGCTGGCTCGCTGTGGCTGTTCTTCTGTGTAATGGGTCTGGAGAGCTGGGGCTGCTCACCGTGTGTAAACCGTGTGCTGCTACTCTTCCACAGGAGCAGTTACCCCGATCACAAGGATGGGGAAGATGTGGAGGTGCCTGGAGAGCGCCCAGCAGAGAGGGAGTTGGATTATGATGATGACACTATGGAGCTGATCCTCCCTTCAGGTTTGTGTTATGACATACTTTCTCTGTGTTTCTCAGAGCTGCGGCCGTTGCCTCCAGCATTGTTGCAAGTGTTTTCCTTTGACAAGGGAGAAAGTAATTCTACATCCAGGTGTCTGGGGTTTTGTCCTCACCTTCCATTATTTTTACTACCAAGTAGTTCAGCTTCTTCAGCATTAATGTGTATGTGGACCGGGGAGGGGGGGTTCCTTTGCCTACTTTACCTCTTCGTTAATGTGACTCATGATATACTCCCAAGAGTTTCCATATCTTGTTTTTGTGCAACTTGGAGAGGCTATATAACTTAGACTGTGCAGTGTAAGGGGTTTTTATGCAGAAGGGCAGCTGGTAGCTAATTTATTAAACTAGTTCAGTAAAGTGAATTTATTTAAACAACCTTACTCACCTTGTATAGCATTTGGCACTGTTGCTTGCTTTTGTTTTGTTCTGGTGTTTTTCATATGAAGGGACCTCAGCCCTTTCATTCCAAAAAGTGCTGCCAGCTATGCAGTTGCAGAAGATTTCATGAATGTCAACAAGTTACTTCCCTGGTTACTCGAAACAGCATGGCCTCTCTGCTCATTCCCCTAATTAACATTTTCTTTTCTGATATCAGCCTGTTTATTATCTGAGCTAAGGCCTCTTGAAAAACAGCACTCTGTTTTTTTTAATTCAGGGGAGAGTGCAGTCCAGCAGCTCTTACAGCGATTACTTTGAGTTCCTAATAGTCCTAAAGTTTTTAGGGTTCAGGGCCTTTTAAAAGCATTTCTCAGCATAGGGATTTTCCACAGTTGTCACAATATGCTCGAATACGGTATTTCAGAAGCTGCTTCATTGCATTGTGCATAAGATGTCCCCTTCTCTGAACAGGTGCAAGAGTGGGTCATCGTTCTTTAATGAGATACTACAAGCAACGGTTTGGTCTGTCAAGAACGGTGGCTGTTGCGAAAAATAAGAAAGCTGTGGGTCGGGTGTTGCAGCAGTACAGAGCTTTGGGCTGGACGAGTCAGACAGGTAAGTGATAACGTGAGGTTTTTGCAGAGGAGGAGGATCTGGGATGTCATCATTATGCAAGAGGTTGATTTTGTTTCACATTTGTGGGGTTTGATGCAGTAGCTTGTCTTCCACTCGGTTCCCTTTCATTCCTGGCATCCAAGCGGAATAAGTTACAGGAAGCTGTGTGTAAAATCCCTTGCAGCTTGCGTGCAAGCTCTTCAGTTCATGAGCATGTGGTGACTTCTAAGATTTGTTGCTTTCTGCCTGTCAGAACCACTGCTCTTGCTATTTAATAATGAAACATAAACCGTGCTTCAACAGTCAGAATACTTTTCCACTTGGGGAGCAGTGATGTGATCCATATTCACTTTTGAAATAAAAGAATTGCACGTTGGAATGTAAAGCAACCTTTTCCCTTAATCGTAGTCATGGGTGATCACAGAGGGAGCTGGCCTTTCCCAAGGGAAAAGTGAAAAGAAGTGTGCCAGTATGAAAAGGAAAACATAGACTTAACTGCTGATGTAAATGGACAGGTTAGGTGGTTTGCATGTAAGTAGTAAGTAAGCTTACAGACCTTTATCCCTCTTTCTTCCTCCTCTCTCCCTGAAGGGGCAGTCTCTGCTCAGCAGCGTGATATGCAGTACCTGCAGAGGATGAAGTCAAAGTGGATGCTCAAGACAGGGATGAGTAACAATGCTACAAAGCAGATGCATTTCCGGGCACAAGTCAGATTCTGAGTTCCCAAGAGAGCTGCACGCAACTGGTTTTGAGAAGGGGGGGTTAATGGTTTCTGGGTCAAGGATTCTGTTATTAAAACGGACTTGGTACCTGTCAGGTGGGGATGTGTGTGCTGGTGTACCTTCCTGTCTGTGAGAAGAGTAGCAGGGAGCTTGTCTCTTCCACTAAAACGATGGCTGGCCTAACTTAAAAAATAAAGTATCTTAAATGGAATATGTGGCAAAATAGTCATGGCTATGAATAAAGATGCATGTGTAGTCTTGCTGCCCATCTTTGCAATCCGTTTCTGTGGGGCAGTTGACCCTGTAATTTGTCTTGAGTATCTTCTGTTTCCAATTCCACAGAATGGTTGAGGCCAAGAGGAGATCCTAAGAGCCTGAGAATGGAGTGTATTGAAGGTTTTAACTTGTGGTGCCAGGTACAAGTTAGTTGGGTGTTTTGGACTTCTAGCTGGTATTACTGAGGTGAAACTTTGAGAGCAGATCTTCTAGGAAGGTTAAGTGATAATTGAAGAAATGCACTGATGGAAAACATAACTCCAGGATTAATACTGTCTTCAGAAGTTGGCTGTACTTGCTTAATGCTCCAGATCAGTTCAGGCCTGGATTAGTAATTTACAGCACAGTTGTTTTATGTTGAATTTAATGAATTTTTATTACCTAAAAACTGCTCAAAATTACTGTAACGTTTAGATGAATATCAATCAAAATTTTTGATGATCTGTTAAAGATTTCCTCATTATAACTCTCAAGTTACTACTGGTGACAGCTTTTGTTGTTCCCATTGAGGACTGGTGTTTTGTACGATCTTGCAGAAGGAAAGTGACCCTAAACATCTGTTGGCTAGAATGGAGGCACGCTCTCCCACTTAAGCAGGGGAACTGCTACAAGCAGGTGTAGAGAAAACCTGCTTGTTAAAGAGCTGAGGCAGCCCTGCTAGGGTTGCTCCTGGTGTTTAAAAGCTTCCGTGGCCTTACCAGTTCTTCTGACCTTCACGTCAGGAGGTGGGCACTGACACAGTAAGGTGTAGGCTGAGCTCAGGAAGCCCTGAGCTGTAGTGTGCTGGACAGTGAGTGTATGCCACGGGAGAATTGCTGTTTGGTGGCTTGTCCATTCATTGTGAAGGCAGCTGCAGCTGGTTACAGTCAAGTTGCACTTTGCATTTTAAAATGACTCTGGATTCCCTAGTAGTGGTTTTAATGATTTTAATACAAGTTTTCTTCCTCTCCTATGAATGGTGTGTGCACATCGCTGGGAATGGTAGGGAGAGACTTTGTCAATTATCACTGTGTTTTGACTTCTTAAAATAATCCCCTAAAGTCTCCCTGAGAAATAAATTCAGAAAAAGTGGTAATGTTGGCATGTCAGCACTTCTGAAAGAGTGGTATATTTATGGGATTCTTAGGAAAGTGATCATTTCACAATGGAGGTGCATTCTGTGTATTTTTGTGTTGTGGATTTTCTGTGGGGTTTCACCTTTCTTTTTTTGTTTGGTTGGTTTTTTGTGTATTTGTTTTGTTTGCTTGTTTTCTTTTTCCTTTTCTTAGTAAATTCTGCTGCCTTGGAAGTTTTTTGCTGTTCCTGCTTTTACTGAGAAGACAGAACTTGATCAGTAATGCAGGCTATAGATTTGATGCAGCATTTACTAAGCCATGTGACCAATACTTTAAAAAAAAGAACAGAAATGAGTAAAGGGAAAACTGAAGCAGAGACAATTTTAGGAGAAGGATGTATTCACATCCAAAATTTTAAACTGAAGTTGGGTTGATGAATGAGTGCCTCTTTTTTTCCTGGCAAGGCAGAGTTACTGCCATTGCGTATCCATGGCTGCATCTAGCTCACATTGGAATTTATTTTAGGGAGTTTGCTTTGGCTTATTGGGCTTTACTCTTAAAGTTAGCTGAGGCTAGATCCTTTACTTCTATGTGACTCAAGCTATGTGAATCTTAAGACACCATATCCTTTATGACACTCGTAACCTGGCCCAACTTGCAGTTATGGTATGGATTTCTGGCACTGGTCAAGCCTCAGTATCCAGCCCTTGGGAACTGCTCATACCTTTTTCTTCTAAGTTAGAGACTACTATCGAAGGGTCTTATGCTTACGGAAAAGTTGGTTTGTCTTTACACATACAGCAAAATAAAATGCCACAAAAGTGTAGAAATAGAAGGGTTAGACTTCTTAACCAGAATCGTAATGTGAAGCCTGTTAAACTGGCTTTGAATACCAGTAGAAGTTAGGAGTGAGCATCAGAGCAGTGTTTAGTCTGGAGCTTTTGGAAAACCCTCATGGAATATACAAAATTTACATTAAGAATGGGACAGTTATCCTGGAAGAGTCGTGGGCGTATCCTAGTGCAGGTTGCTAAAGTCTTAGGTGTTAAAAGAGTCTTGGCAGTGAAGGTAGAAATATAGGGAGATAATTGATCCAATGACAAATGACTTTGGGTCTGTAAGGCTCAGGCTGGAGGTGCATGGAGTTTTCAGCTCTCAGCATGAAAGAGCAATCAAAGGAAACTCCTGTTCTCTGTGTAGACTTGCTCAAAGAAGCCTGCTGCTTTCAAGAAGGTGGGGAGTGCCTGAATTTCCTGAAATGTCTGGTTCAGAAAGAAGTGCGAGTAAGCAAAAATGAGAATTGGTAGTCATTTGGCAAGTCACAGGGAAGTTGAAGGAGGCAATTGGTATAGTATGCACCTATGATTCTGTCCTATATGTCTTACTGCAGTTTAGTCAGAAGAAAATGGAGGAGAGATACGGAAACCTGGTATTTTAAAGGGAGAGTTGTAGCTCTAGGCTGAAAATGAGTGACTTGGAAAACCAGCAGAGGGCATAGGAATGCTTTTCCCAGAATTGTATTTACTATGAAAATAAATAAAGTCTAGTAAGAGTACATTCATGCAGAATACCAGTAGGGTGAGAAAGCAAAGCTCACCTCTGACACGAGTAAAGACTAGCACTAGACTTCTGAGATGAGTTGCTGTTAATGTCTGTATGTAGGTCTGAGGCGAGCACTGCTAGCAAAGGGTATCTAGAACAAGTTATGCAGATTGTCTACAGTATCCAGCAACAGTGCTGTAGTTGCCACAGCTTGCAGGTAATTCCAGGTATGTCAAAGCACCTGAGTATTTTTATTAAACATGCTTCACCGTGTTACAGTCTTTTACCTCGTTAGCCTAGATCCTAAAGCTTGTATGAAGGATAGCTGAGGGCAGTTTTTTGTTTCCTACAGAATTACAAATGATGCTGGTTCCCATCAAGGAGCTGTTTCCAGCTATTACCTAGCCTTGCACTTGTGCTCCCCCCACTCTGACCTTGTGTTTTCTGGCTCTTGGGACCAGAACGAGAAGTCAAGTCTAGAGGAAGAATCTGTAGATTTGAGACAGTCTCTGTATCTAGCGCGTACTCTGGGGCAAGAATTCGCTGGTGGGGTTGTAATTCAGTGAGTGTGCTGCTCCCAGAGGAGGAGGATAATCCCTTCTCAGGCTGCTGCACCCATTGCAAGAAAAGCTGGGAAGAAGCATAGGGGTGGTATCCTGGTTTGGAGAAGTTTGGGGTTCTGCCTGCCTGTTCGTCCGGTAATAGCTGAATGTTGAGGTGCTCTTGGTGCTGTGTTGCAGAATGAGTCAGCAGAATGAAAGAATTGGCGAAGCCGATAGAGCACATCTGCCATCTCCTTTTGGAGGTAGTTCTTCTGTTTTGTACACTCGAGTTATCTAAAAGCAACCCAAGTGGTACTAGCGGGAAAAACATTTACCAGTTACCTGGAAGGGAGTGGCTGGGAAAGAGAGGGAAACGTATGGGATGAAGAGTGGCAGAGACACAGGAGAGACAGGTATGGAACACGTCCTAACAGCTTATTACACTGAAGCTGCAAGTCAACAAGTAAAGATCTATTTAAAGTGAGCACTCCCTTTAAGAGTGCATTATTGATCCCTGATCGGTTTCCACAAGGCAGAGGGCCTGAAATGTGAAGGAGCTGGACCATTGCCCAGCTAATGTCTGATGCTTGAGGGGCGTCTGAGTGAGATTCTTCGCTACGACTTCTAAGAGTTATTTTTGATCTATTAAAACTGAGGCAGATTGGGCTAATGGGCTTGATCTGCTCAGGGGTTTGGTCATCTTCCTCCACCCTATCTGCATAAAGCTGCTGGTAAAAAACTGCACTTCAGAGACCCGAGTGGTTCATACTATTATGACCTATAATAGATGAGAGGTTAGAGATAAGCTCTAGGGCACATCTGAGCATTATAAGTATCTTTTAAAAGCTTTGAATCTCAGTGGGTGATTGCTGTAGTCCAACTGACTACCATACTGCAGCTGGAGAATAGCAGTCACCAAACTCATCAAATCCTGAATCCTCAGCAGAGCCTGTATAGTTCAGATGACCAAATTCCAGTGTCAGAGCAAGCAAACCATCTCTTTTCAGGAATCTGACACAGAGGAAATGTCTGTTGTCTCTCCCACCACATCCTGAACAAGGTTGTGTGGGATGCAGGAGCCGGGCACTTCTGGAGCAGTAGAAGCAGTGACAGGAGACCTGTAGCCAGTTTTGTGTTAAGGATTTCTGCACGTCTGAGGTACCAGCCTAAAAGCAGAGTAGTGAATGCCAGCTGAGCCAGGAATTCAAAATCACTCTCCTCTAAAAGTAGTCAGCATGTCCCATTGTAAAGTTAACGTGACTTTTTCCCGAAAGCAGAAAGCGGTCATTAAACAAGTTTTTAAATAGTGACATCACCAAACAAACACTGATGTCTTTGTACAGTTCTCTGATGCAACAAAAAAGGGTTGTCTAACATGGAGACGTATTTTCTGTCACTCATTACACTTGTGTTGGAGTCTTATTTGCTTCTCACTTTACTGAATTTATCTTTTCAGCTCCTTTATCTTTGCCAAGGATTTACAGTTTATGGTAAATTCCATAACCTTGGGTATGGAAGTAAGAGGTTTGCTTCTCCTGCCTCATGTGTTAATGAACACAATGTACGTGACAAAAATGAACGTGTACCAGGACTTGGAGGAAGTGTGTATTCACATCGTCAGATGGTCTCACACTTTAACATTCATTTCTTGAAGGAACTTCAGGAAACAAGTCTGGATAGCAATTCCTGACAATAACCAGAATAACAGAATTAGCAGCAGCAAGTGCTATTGGTTAAAAAGGGGGAGGGAAAAGAAAACCTTTACATATCTTATGACCTCTAGAGGCCACAAAGAATAACTTAATGTTTTACAAAATGAAATATATAGCAAGATACATTTCTCCTTGGAACAG